TTAGCCGCTGGCGGGCAGAAAATGTCAATGCGCTAGCTGATTCTGTCAGCACCTGCCCCTATTGCCATGCCCAGCTTGGCGCATATCAGGGCGCCTCAGTCTATGCACTGCGGTGCACTAAAATACCATTGCATGGGATGCGACACCCTGCACTGCTGGGGACAAGAAAATAGAGCCCAATATTTTTATATTTCTATTTTTTTTATCATTATTATCACAGGGGACCATTGTTACAATGGAAATTGCAATCTAAGCCCCCCCCCCCCCCCCCAGTTAACAGAAGTAACAGACAGCACAGCTGCTTGATGTGCACATTTGTGGCTTTATCCTATAATTGGGATCTTTCTACAGAGCAGTAGGTGAGCAGTAGCTGTGCCTGGCACTAAGTCAGTGATCTATTGTTAGTTATCATTAGTGGTTACTATTATACTCAGTACGGAGGCAGAAAGGAGGCATCAGCAGTCTGATGTGAGGCTGAGAGTAGAGCGATAAAAACAACACAGCAGTCAGACTGGTAGCCACCTGCTAAGCCTGCTGTGACTCTCTGAGCTGTAAATAGTCATTAACCAGCATACTGTCACTGTCTGGATTCAGATGGAAGCAGGAAACCTCATATTAGGAGTCAGAGTGAGCCTGATGCTGCAGCCCTTTACTGAAGGTGGCATTCAGCAGCAGATGTCATTGTTGAGGCATGGCATAAACGCTGCATCCATCATGATAATGTCTCCATAAATATGCCATAAGCCTGGTATTTATTTATACACATAATGCGGTGACGAATGAATTATTGTTTTCCCTGAATGGATAGAAACAAACATCATCTGGGAATGACTCTGTTTATGTAGCTCACATGTCAAACAATACACATAAGCAGTTTTAATGTCCACCAGAGATTTCTATTTGGACATCTATCAACACTAGCATGCAGCAGCAGCACGGTCACATGTGTGCAGGCTGATGGAGGGAGGATGGAAGGGACCAGGGAAAGGAAGAGGGATGAAGTAAGAAAGTGACTGTGGCTTTAAGAGTCCACAGAGCGGGGCTGACGTTGGGAAAGTCGCCCAGTGGCTTTCTCATGACCCTTAGGGGGGAGGGTGTCTTCCTTCTGGGTGCTGTGATGGAGATGAGATGTCAGGAAAAGCCAAAAAAACACAAATGACACAACATGTGCTCAGCAACTAACTCTAGGTCACTTTCTCTGTCTTTCATGGCCTGCTGGGATAATCACAAGTTGTTATTTTCATGATCTTAAAAGTGACAGTAACACATCCAAACATCTCTGAGCAACAAGTTTCCAGCTCTGTTTCTGCTCTGCCCCTTTCCCACACTGGATGTCATGTTCAGATTAAAAATATGGATGTTTGTGTGTATTTAAAAATAGGATGGACTGCATAAATGTGGAGCAGGAGTATAAACTTGTCAAACCTCTGATGGTTTGTGGTCTTTGGAGGTCAGAGCAGACTTTAATACAGTATATGCAGCTGCAGCACTCCACACCCTTTAATCTCAGCATTAATTCTCTGAATGCGACTTTAATTAGAGTAAGATAATTAGATCAAGGTGTTTGCATGACCCCAGCCTTAATTGGAGTGTTTTTAAAAATGAAAGTGGAAGTGTTGATGTTTGTGTCAGCACATCTGAAAGGTCTTTAACATTTCTTACTTTGGATTTAACAAAGCGAAAGGAGGGAGCAACCTCAGAGGCAAAAAAATGGCCACAATAAAACTGAAAATGACAACAAAGAGACACTGAAAATAACAACAGAGATACACTAGGTGACTACAGGGATACAAAGACACATAACAAACAAGAGACACTGACTACAAACAGGCACAAAATGACAAACCATTACAAAAACACATTGTTAAAAAATTACTGGTGCACACATAATTTAACACGGAGCAATGTGTTACCTAAGTTACCAGAACAGGCATGTGGACATAACCCTCAAAGGACCACTGACTGCTGATGCAAGCTCTGCTAGCAGTATCCATATTCAATAAATCAACTGCTAGGAGCATTCAGGCATTGTTTACTCACAAATTCTGTGATACCTTTTGACTGTTTTCAGGGTGTTTTGGACTGGGAAGGCAGAACCTAAATTTCTGTTTAATGATGAGGCAGTCAGTAGTGTCAGAACACCCCCTATGACCCAGACTTTCTATAGGGATAAAAGTATCACCAAGGAAAAGGATGAAAACGAAACTGAACCTATGCATTTCACAAAATACTATCTGTCAGATTCATATTTTGTTATTATACTTTCTTAATACTTTGTTTTAAAATGAAATATATGTGTGCAACCCTTTAAATCATTCTGTAAGGAGTTCCACATTTTAATACACATCTGTCTCAAACTTGTCAGGGCAAAGTAGTGCTTAAAATTAAATCTCCTTCTATGCTCTCCATCCTCTGAACTGAAAATAAACAACTTTTGCAGGTTTTCTGGAAACATTTTGAGTCTTGCCCTGAATATTACTGCAAGTGTCTGTAATTTAATGAGATCTTTGATTTTTAATAGCCATGATTTAACAAACAGTCTGTTGGTGTGCTCTATCAAGTTTACATTATGAATTATTTTTTTTATTACTCTTTTCTGTAATATAGGGTTTAAGTTAAATATGACAGAATTAATGAGCAATATAAAATCCTCATAACCTTCCCATTTAATACTGATTTTGTTCTGTTCAAAACAGAAATATTTTTACACACCTTTAATTTTACCTGTGCTATATGACTTTTCAGTGTCAGTTTGTCGTCCATGATAGATTGATCATTGATTCATCGCGCCCATTCCTAGTGTGATCGCAGCGTCATGGCCAATAAATTACATGTAGGGGAAACCCTTGATGACTCAACACAAAGAATACCCCTAATAGACACAAGTTTACCTCTAAAGAATGTATAGTGGTCAAAATTACTACAAGGTCCCAGTGATTCCACATGATGTATCTTTCTTGTTCGCAGTCCTTTTTTATCTTATGTAATTTCTGTTTTTAGTTATTCTGACTTTTTCTTATACCGCAGGGCAAAATTGGAGGACCTGCAGCCTCAGGGATTAGCAGCTATATGATGTTATATGGTGAAAGACAATTTAGACAAGAAGATATTTTGTAAGTGTATGAAGAAAAGAAGTGTGCAAAGGAGAAGGAACGGTAATTTTTGAGTCTGTGTGACTCCTGCTGCACAGTGCTGGCTGCCTTTTTCCATCACTGTGAGGGTTTAACCTATACTAATCTCCCTGCAGGTTCTTGTTGTGTCAGGCCTTGTACAGAGTGCCAGTGGGTGTAAATACACAGGATTACAAGCGGCTGATGATTGGACAGCAAACTGCCTGGGCTGGGGAGGAAAAAAACTCCACTGCTGTATTTCTTTGTCATTACATATAGATAAATCTCTCAATCTCCTTCCTCAAATCAAAACTGCACCAGTTGCCGAAGACACATACACAAGGACAGTGGCCTCCAAATTGCTCTAATCCTGGCTCAAAGTGAAAAGGGGCTTTGCCATCCATTTGGTATTATTCTAAGAAATAGGCAATTAGAGATAAGGCTGTGGTCGTAAGACAGGTGGACTGCCTCAGGGAGTGGACAGTATCTTTTGAGATAAGCAGTTGTCAGAGAAACAATCGGAGGTGAAGCAGGAAATCAATATGTAGTGTATAGAATGTGTCAGTATGCCAGGTTGTAAGATGTGTTATGTTGTAATGTGGAGAGGATCAGAGCCCAAAGTGGCCCCATTTTGAAATAATACATAAAGTTAAAAATAACGTTCTCATTCACAATACTCTGACTCTGGGACTCAGCAGAGCAGACTCCCTCAGCCCCCAGCAGAGCTTCTGAAGCTCACATGAGCTGCCCTTGTTAAATAAGTAAGTCCACCGTGTTACCCACCTGGGAAACAAATGAAGATGCTCCTCATGCCAGATTGTAAGTCCACAAAGAGGAGTTATTGCACAACCCTTGGGTCCAGAGATAAGGATTAGCTCGGACATTGTTCCCATGAACAACTGGCATTTAACTGAGGATGCCCAACGTATTCGTTGTGCATCCACATCTCTTTAAAACAGAGCGCAAACACCAGAGTCTGAGCACTATGTCACAGTTTTAAGGGGAGGTGGGCTCATCTGCACATACTGTAGACTGGATTGTGGTTTTCTGGGGACCAAGAGTCAACACACTCCTCAACCTTTCCACCTGTTCTGAGAAACAAACCTTCTCTTAAAACCTGCCTCTCCTAACAGCACTTGGGTTTATTGACTTTAATTTAATGGCTGTGATGTGATAGGCTTTCTGGGTTTTACCCACTTAAATCACCTTCCTTTCCTTTGTTATAGTCTTGGAAAACTCTGAGTAATGTGAAATCTACAAAGAAAAAACACAATTATTATTGTTATTATGTCAGTTCACTGGTAACATTGATCTAAATGGCCATCTAGCCCCCATATTTCCAAAACAGATAATAATAGGCAATAGACCACATTCTCACCACAGCCATCTTTGTCTGCTTAAGGTGGTGTGTTAGCTAGCCAACAATAAGATGTTTGAGCACTGTATGAGCAGACATCTGTGTAATGGTTGAAAAGGTGACCCCGGAGGCTGGTGATTTTCTGCCTGTTACTATGACAACCACATTATCATCCAGCTGAGAGTAGCAAGTACACAGGGTCGCCATTTTAACCATAACACTTTTTATCAGCCTTGATCCAGTATTGAAAATCTTACTCTTGTACTAGTTTACTTCAAATCCGTTATAAAAAGGTAAACTATATTGACAAGATTATTATCGAAAGAAGACCTTTAAACAGAATACAATAACTGAAATGAGGCAGATATCCTCATGTTGAAAGTTAGACACCAGGGGCCTATTCTACGAAGCAAGTTTGACCTATCGAGGTAGCCTTGGAGATAAGTGGATCGACCCCGTAAGTGGATCCAGAGCCTGCCGCATCTGACCAATCGCGAACATGGACCAGTCTGGAGCATCAGAGCAGGCCGGAGATTGCACTTTACAAACGAGGAGCAGGAGACGATCATGAGAAAGTATGAAGAATTCAAATCTATAATAAAACTCAAAAGCAACACCGTCGCCACTGCAAAAGCATGGAAGGAATACTGGCAGAAAATTGCAGACGGTCTCAATGCGTAAATATAGTGCACAAATAATCTTTGATGCCATTATCACCCTGAAATAGCACTGTTCAACATGCGCTTTTAACATGCACCAGACATGACGTATTCATTTCCAAGATTAATTAATTAATTTGTTCATTCCTATCGTGTTTACATTTTTTGTGTGATATGTAGGCCATATGAGCCTTTCATAAAGGTGGTCATCCGGAAAAGTAGGTGGGTCCGTGCGGTCCCTGAAAACTCTCGCATGCCGGAGTGCTCTTCGGACAATGCGAGCACCGAGGTCTATAGGATCCTCCAAGAACGGACAAGCCATTTTTCGAGAGAGCTCATTGGTCAGTGGGCGGGGTTTTTATACTCAGTGAGTTCAATCTGGAACCTAACCTGCCCCGTAGCAGGTTAGCCATTCAGCGTATGTTGCCATGGAGACTCACCTCGCCAAGAGAACCCGTGTCGTAGAACAGGAAACCCCGAGCTTACTCTAGAAGTTACCTCGCTAAGCGGTAATCCTGCTTCGTAGAATAGGCCCCAGCAAAGGCTTTCACATATCCTCCTGTTGACTGGTTAACATGATGTTAAAGCAGACAATAACGTAAACAAAAACGTAGACTTTTAAAGGAGTCATCCATGAAATAATCAATTTGCTTCTACAAATGTTAGTCTTTTCCAATTGTATTTGAGTTTCTCTTGTGGGAATAAGATCTATCATAAATTTATAGCAAAACTATCTAAACTTATATGGGGAAAGTCACCAAGATCTTCTCAGTCTAACAACAACATAAATTTGCATGTTCTTGTTCTTTTTCACATAAATCTTTCCTTCAAAGTAGCCAGCATGAGCAATTATATTTTTCCATCAGAAACCATAGACTGAAAAATAAAACCCATCGCTCTCTCTCTCTAGAGACTGTTGTAATTGTTGGGTTTCAGAATAAACACAGGGTTAATTCATCCAGGCAGTTAGAAAAACAAGCTCAATGAGGCACACTGCCTATTGAACCTGGACTAATGTAATCAAATTAACTGATCCAAACACACGCTTCTCCGATGATGTTGTTAGGTTTATGAAACTAAGAAGCACCGATAAACATTGTGCAATTAGACATTAAAACAAAAGAGCTGAGGCAAGGACAGCTTTCAGGTTCAGTGGACTCAAACTTTTAATATCAATATTGATTTTTTTCTCGTGAAACTACTCAACCTGATGTGTGGGTTAATTATCTGGACTAAAGCCTTGTACCAGGACACAATTTAAGTCTCACTAGGGTAAATCTCTCTGAAAGCAAAACAACTGAATTACCAAAAAAATAAAAATAATAATAATAATAACAATAATAATACTTATAATAATAACAATAATAATAATTACGATGCAAAGGCAACAGCTTGGCATAATATAAACTTAACATAATTAGACTTGACTCTAAAATTTGAGTAAACAGCTGAAAAAAGTTTTGTAGCCACTCTGTTGTTTTAGCCTACATGGACCACATTGTCAGAATACAGTGGACATAAAAAGTCTACACACCCCTGTTCAACTGCCAGGTTTTTGTCATGTAAAAAGTTACATCAGGATAAATAATTTCACAACTTCTTCCACCTTAAATGTGACATATAACCTGTACAACACAATTGAAAAACAAACAGAAATCTTTCAGGGAGGTGAAGTAAAAATAAACAACTGAGATCATGTCGTTGCATAAGTGTGCACACCCTTTTATAACTGGGATTGTGGCTGTGTTCAGATTTAACCAATAACATTCAAACTCAGGTTAAATTGGAGTCAACACACACCTGTCACCAATTAAAGTGCTTCTGATCAACCCCAAATAAAGTTCAGCTGTTCTAGTAGGCTCTTCCTGACATTTCTGTAGACACATCTACCAGCACAAGCCATGGTCCGCAGAGAGCTTCCAAATCATCAGAGGGATCTCATTATTCAAAGATATCAGTCAGTTGAGGGCTACAAAAGAATTTCTAAGGAATTAAATATACCATGGAACACAGTAAAGACCATCATCATCAAGTGGAGAAAATATGGCACAATGATGACATTACAAAGAACAGGACGTCTGTCCAAAATTGATGATAAGACAAGAAGAAAACTGGTTAGGGAGGCTACTAAAAGGCCGACAGCAACACTGAAGGAGCTGCAGGAATTTCTGGCAAGTACTGGCTGTGTAGAACATGTGACAACAATCTCCCACTGTCTTCATATGTCTGGGCTATGGGGTAGGGTGGCAAAGACGGAAGCCTTATCTTACAAAGAAAAACATCAAAGCCCGGCTTAATTTTGCAAGACATCTGAAATCTCCCAAACACGTGGGAAAATGTGTTATGGTCTTTTTGGGCATCATTGCAAAAGGTATATTTGGCGCAAAATCAACACTGCTCATCACCAAAAGAACACTATATCTACAGTGAAGCATGGTGGTGGCAGCATCATGCTTCGGGGCTGTTTTTCTTCAGTTGGAACTGGTGCCTTAGTTAGGGTGGAGGGAATTATGAACAGGTCCAAATACCAGTCAGTGCTGGCACAAAACCTTCGACCTTCTGCTAGAAAGATGAAGATGAAGAGGAACTTCATCTTTCAGCACAACAATGACCAAAAGCACACATCTAAATCAACAAAAGAATGGTGTCACTGGAATAAGATTGAGCGTTTAGAACGGCCCAGACCTGAATCCCATCGAACATTTGTGGGGTGATCTGAAGAGGGCTGTGCATAGGAGTGCCCTCGCAATCTGTCAGATTTTGAGCGGTTTTGCAAATATTGCCGCATCAAGATGTGCGAAGCTGATAGACTCCTACCCAAAAAGACTGAGTGCTGTAATAAAAGCCAAAGGTGCTGCAACAAAGTATTAGTTTAAGGGTGTGCATATTTATGCAACCAGGTTATTTTAACATTTCTATTTTTAAATTTTTCCCCTTAAAGGTTTCAGTTTGTTTTTCAATTGCATTGTACAGATTATAGGTCACATTAGAGGTGGAAAAAGTTGTGAAAATATTCAACTCGCTGTCATTTTCTTACATCACTAAAACCTGCCAGTTGAACAGAGTTGTGTAGACTTTTTATATCCACTGTATATCCAGTTAACTGAACGATCCAAATGAAAAAATACACAATTGCATTATGAAAACTAAGCTGCTCAAAATACACTTATTTAGCTGGTATATAAATTCCTATGTCTTATATCCCAATATTCAGCTAGTTTCTTGAATACCACCCAGTTTTATTACAGTATTTTTGAAGCCGAGCATAACGTTAGATTTGACGTTTTTTTAATTTGCTCCAGGTTGCTTGTTACGATGAGAGAATCAGAGGGGCAGGACAGAGAAATCTGTTTGAATCAATTAATAGAGAAAAGTGGACATGGTGTTGTTTCCTTCCAGTTTTCATGAGGTTCAAATCTGGTACAGTGACAGCTCATATTGCAGTAATGTCACACTTAAGTCAAAGAGAATAATTATGTCCATACAACATGTTACCACTAGTGGTTTGGCTCTGTTCTGAGAGCTCCTTGCCTGTCCACCTGCATACGGGGAATGTCAAAGCCTGAGCAGCAGCAAAGACCTGCAGGGTATAGAACAAAGCAGGCATCGGGCCACTGATGGTAAAGCTAGGGTGGAGGCAGGGAGAGCAACAGTTTAGAGAAAATGCCTGTCATGACATTTGCCACTTGGATGCTTTGAAGGCGAATTAGCTGTCAGCTGATATGAGCTGATGTCAATCATTTGATTTCTCTGCTCCTGTCTCTCCTGTTATTCTGAATTTTCCTGAACATGCGATCCATGAATTTAATATCTTCCTGTCTCACCTCTTATCTTCAGTGGATTCTGCTGAAATATTTATACTTTCTAAGCAAACAAACGTTGAGCAAAACTACAGTAGCTGTCCTACTGTCTTACTGTAAAACAACCTGTTAGGGCTCTTCTCTTCACCTCTCTTCACTACAGGCAGTTATTTTAGTTTTAGTTTTTAGTTTTATTTTATATTTTAGTCTCAAAAGTTCTCCTGCTGCTCTGATTTTGTCTGTCACACAAAAAGAAGCCTGATTTGTCTTGTTTGTCAGAGGATGTTTGCTCACTTCCTTGCTCGAACATACTTGTCTCCATCAGGGACTCAAGGAGCGCTCAGCTTTCCTGTTGCCACTGGCCGCTATTCATGAGAGCTTCCTCTCTGTAACAGGGGCGCTTGGTGTTTTCAGGACACACCTGCAGGGCGATTGATGGCGAGTCAAACGCTGAGGTCAAGGTCAGCTGCTGCTGCTCGTATTGCTGTCCTGTTGGTCTGTGACATTGAATTACAGCTGCTGTTAAAACTGCAGATTAGTCACCAAGGGGCATTACTAGCAATCACTCCCTGACATGCCTTAAAGGTGTCTGAATCATAACATCACCATAAGGCTGAGTGTGAGAGCATTTTTCAGGTGTTACTCCTTCCTCAAGGTGGAACCAGCAGGATAGTGATCGCCTGTGTCAGCGCATGTGATTGTTTTGGCAACAGAGCTGAAGAGTATACACAGGCTCTGGACGGCCAAAAGCAAATTCAGGCTGAATTTGAAGCTCCCTGCCTTTGCTTTCATGTCTCATAGGCTGGATGAAAGCTTGCAGGCTGTCTGAGGGAGCGAACACACCCTCACCTGAAACAGATGGTGCTTACTGACTTAAATGGATATCTCCTGTTTCTCCACCAGAAAGCAGAGGGAGAGAGGACCAGAAGAAAGTAGGCTGTGTGAACATTAGAGGCTGTCCTGACTGCCATCAACAAAAAAAGTCCTTACTGCGGATGCTGGGAGTCGAGCAGAGACGAGGAGTATAAAATGATATTCAAAATTTATGACAGAGCAAATAGGAATCTCTTGTTGCCATTTAAAGTAGATGATCTTTAGTCAAATCTGAACCATGTGCCTTCATGGTGCAGTCGTGCTGTCTGATGGACTCTAAATGTTATTCGGGTCAGGTCTGCACTCAACTCAAGAGTTTCCTCAGCTGTTGAGATCAAACTTTAAGTGTATCTTACTGTGTCAACATCACAACAACACTCCTATGTGCCTGTAAGACAAATGTTTATGGGAGTTTTAAACAGGACCAGCTGTCAGACTGACATCCAAATGTTTGAAGCTGACAACTTTTGAGTCTCTCAACAGAATTCATAAATGATTTTGACCGCAGCTTTTAAAAAAAAAGGAATCGTTTTTTAGTTTTAGTTTCCTTAAGTTAGGGAAACTCAGATCCCAGCCCCCTATTCAAAATGGAAAGCTACTAATTCAAGCATCAGGCAGACTTCGACATCACCATCTGACCAGTTTCCCATTGTTTGAACTCAAATACCAGAGGATGAAGGATTCTGGTTAGCTTAAGCTACAGTAAGCTATACTGCAACTCCAAAATGGCACCAAAACCAGGTCCTGCTATCTCCACGCCTTTGTACTTACTTGCTGTACCTCAAAACAACACAATATTAGTGTCCCTGTGTGTGACGTCATATTACATTACAGCGAGTACAAGAGGAACAGCACAACAACACAGTATGAGCCTCACATACTGTCCACACGAATTCAGTGGTCCACTCTAACATTTACAATGCATATCAGCAGATATGTAAATATCAATTAGTTGTTGTGATTTATACTGGCAGCCATTTTCCATTGTGAGTTAAAGCCATGCAGTCATGCACCCAGTCTCCAGGAGTTTGTTTTGGGAAACAATACACAGCAGCTAACACAAGGGACAAAGGAATTCAGAACTTTTTACAACTCGTTTTTGAGAACAAAACCAACAGATTTGTGAAAAGTCGATGCAGAGAGATTTCCCTCCTCGACATGTGTTTTCTGCCTTGTGGATATGCTCATATTATCAAGAAGAACAAGTATGTAGAAAAGCTGGCGCTGAGGCTGAAATATTTATCTGATCTTTCTTTGCAGCATTTCCACATTTTGTCATTTAAGCATCTGACATGAGTACAGATAGAATATCTTCATGAGTCTGCTTCTTATGATAACATCTGGTGTTTCAACTATTTTTATGTCGCGACATGTTCTGTATCTTTTCAATAGCATTCATTGTACTCAGTATGTTTTTATGGAAGATCTGTGATTTAAGTAAAGTATGTGTTTTTTGTTTTTTTTCACTTACAAAAACCAAAATTTGAATCGACATCAGTTCATGAACATTTCACTTAAAGTCATCTAAATTTGCATGTCTAGTTACAGTTAAGCACAAGGTGTAACATGCCTATAGATATCCTGCCTTCAAATGGTAGTATGTTAGTGCAACTTGTCACTCAGGCCACCAAAACCACAAAGACAAAACTCTTTTTTAAATGCAAAATCAAAGTAACAGGAAGCCCCATCTTTGAGGGGGAGACCTCTGTGGATACTTGCCATGAACTCAGTGAAAAATAAACACAGCTTTAAAACAAGTTGATAACCAAGTTTGACAGCAGCTTATCTTGCAGCCCCCACTGATGTCCTGTGTCCAAACATGTGATTTTGAACAGCTTTACTGGTTTGATTACTTTTTGACAAGAAGACCCCCACAATGTTTCAGTGGCTGTTAAAATTTTGTGAGCAGCGAACAATGAAGGGTTATTTTGAGACTGTGGTATTTTTCAGAGTTTACTTTTTAGGGGAAACCCTAGAAAGAGACGCTATAAACTTCTCCCAAAACCCCCTCTGTCTAAGTAGCCTATCATGAGGATTTACAATAATCTCTTAATCTGTATAATATGCTCCCCTCAAGATCCGGCTGTTAAAATTTTTACTTGAATTTATCATTTAAAACTCTTCATTCCTTAAAACACTATTCAAATACTCATACAGCTGCACAGTGCCCCAATTTTTAAAATCAAAGAGATGGCAGGGGGAAAGTAGGCTGCCTGTACACTACAGCTATCAGTGAAAGACGGCTTTAATACGTTGCTAAAGAGAGTGTCTGCTGAGCCAATGTTGCAGCAGCTATAAAGAGATTATTCCCCCTAGAAGACATAATCATGTGTAACACACTTGTTTCAAATCCTGTGAAAAAAAACACACACAGGTGTTTCAGCTCTTCATCCAGTGGCACACATACAGGAGAACCCCCCAGACACAGACCTTTTCTGTCATTACCTCATTAGTCATTAGGATGAGATGAAAACACAATCAAATGCCATTACCACAGAAGAACCAGAGAGATGTCTTTTAAAGTAGGGCAAAATAAAATGGAAGATCGACTTTAGTTTAAATGCAGACAACACCCACAGGGGGTGAGCTTTCTGGAGGACCGAAGCCAGGATGAGTCAAACTTTAAAGTGAATGTCACCATGTAGAGTGTTATTATTTCATATTTTGTCAATAATAAAGACACATGGGTAACTCTAGTGATTTTCGCATCTATACATGCATGGGCTGAAGAGTGGAATGCGTAACTGTAGTTGGCGTACTCACCTGGGAGCCCCCAAAGTAAGGTAAAAGAGAGCAAGGTAAGTTTCCTAGAAGTGGCATAGACCTCCATGGCTGATGTTTCCTCTCCTCACTTCGTTAATGTCCTTCTCCTACTCTACAGATCCGCCTCAGGCACTGCTCTTCAAGTCCGCCAGGTGTTCTTCTTCAGTCTCTTAGCAGGCACCGGAGCCGGGAAGGTACAAGACACTTTCGGTGGGGAGATGTGGACGATCCCGCAGCCAACAGGAGCCTCTGCCTGTTTCTGTGAACTCTAAGCGGTGAAAGATAAATGAAAATGAGATGAAGACCTCCGACACTGACGGTCCTCCAGTGCTCTCTTCTCCGCCTCCTGTTCACACTCAGCTGCGCTCTCCTGTGCGAGGCGGCAGGAAGAAGCCGATAAGTCCGCAAATTGTCCGAAGGAGTGAGAGAGAGAGAGAGAGAGAGAGAGAGAGAGAGAGAGAGAGAGAGAGAGAGAGAGAGAGAGAGAGAGAGAGAGCGCTGTTTATGTGCCGTCTTAATCCGCAGAGACACTTCAAGATAAACCACATTGACACTCCGAGTGACCGTACGCTCTTATTTTGAAACCACACGCTGCGACATCCGCTGAGACAGACGCTGCTCATTTTCACACTGACTGAGACATTGACTGAAACGCCTCTCCGTCTACAGTTTTGGCTGGATTCTGAACATAATCCAGGAAATTATAGTTGTTGGATTAACGGTCGCTGAGGGTGGTTGTTACTGTTATTAACTGTACCCCAATGAGTTTGGAAAAGGAAAAAACAACACCTCTGGGTTCATTTAAAGCCTATACTTGACTGAAAGTAGTGTCAATTGGAATTTGAAAAAAATTTGTTCAATAAACATTATATAGGCTATGCTGACGTTAAATTTGACAGACAAGTGAAGATAGTCAGGAGAAGGCTTTCACTTAGCATATGTGCACTTTGAGCACCATCAGTTTGCATGCTTTAAGCACGGCGGGAAGATAGATAGATAGATAGATAGATAGATAGATAGATAGATAGATAGATAGATAGATAGATAGATAGATAGATAGATAGATAGATAGATAGATAGATAGATAGATAGATAGATAGATAGATAGATAGATAGATAGATAGATAGATAGATAGATAGATAGATAGATAGATAGATAGATAGATAGATAGATAGATAGATAGATAGATAGATCCCAAACTGGGAAATTCTCATGTTACAGCAGCAAAAAACACAAAATAAAATTAATATAAAAAGAAGTATGTAAAATGCAGACTAAAAAAAACTAGAAATACTAAATATATACAATAAATACAAACTAAATATACTAAACATTCTAAGAGAAAAAGGTGAGATATGAAAAATGTGGGCTATTGAAATGAGTAATAAATATGAAATGCAAAATATACAGATGGGATGATAAATAAACAGACAATTTAAGGTGCTCAGTAATGTGATGTGGTAGGAGTTTTAAAAATGGACTATACAGCAGACAGGTGTGAGTCCCTGTCTGACAAATGTGAGTTTTTAAATAGTGCAATTGCTTGTGGCAGGAAAGATTTCCTGTATCTGTCCCTTCGACAGCGGAGCTGCAACAGTCTGTTGGAGAAGGAGCTCCACTGTCTGTCCAGAGTGAGGTGGAGAGGGTGGTCAGGGTTATACATGATGGATAACAGTTTGGTCAGTGTCCTCCTCTCCACCACAACCTCCACAGTGTCCTGTTTGCAGCCAATTACGGAGCCAGCTCTCCTGATCAGTTTGTTGAGTCTGTTGGTGTCACTGGCTCCGATGCTGCTCCCCCAACAAACCACGGCAAAGAAAAGTATGCTGGCCACCACAGACTGGTAGAACATCTCCAACATCTTGCTGCACACGTTGAAGGATCCCAGCTTCCTCAAGAAGTAGTGTCTGCTCATCCCCTTCTTGTAGACAGTGTCAGTGTTGGACTTCCAGTCCAGTCTGGAAGAACACTTACCCTGGTGTCACTTGCCATGATTTTTCAATTGTTTTGTCTTGGTGTTGAATTTACATTTGTATTTCTATGGGTTTTATCATTCTAATATAAACCTATAGGTGTCTATAAATAAAGGAAAAGTATCGAGCTGTTTTTCTCTGTAGTTACTGTACAGTGGGATGCGAAAGTTTGGGCAACCTTGTTAATTTTCATGATTTTCCTTCATAAATCATTGGTTCTTGGGATAAAAAAAAATCAGTTAAATATATCATATAGGAGACAAACACAGTGATATTTGAGAAGTGAAACGAAGTTCATAGGATTTACAGGAAGTGTGCAATAATTGTTTAAACAAAATTAGGCAGGTGCATAAATTTGGGCACTGTTGTCATTTTACTGATTTCAAAACCTTTAGAACCAATTATTGGAACTCAAAATTGGTTTGGTAAGCTCAGTGACCCTTGACCTCCATACACAGGTGAACCCAATTATGAGAGAGCATTGAAGGGGGGCAATTGTAAGTTTCCCTCCTCTGTGAATCTTTTTTGAAGAGTAGTGACATGGGAGTCTCAAAAGAACTGTCAAATGACCTGAAAAAAAGATTGTTTACCATCATGGATTAGGGGAAGGATACCGAAAGCTGTCTCAGAGATTTCAGTTGTCTGTTTCGACAGTTAGGAACATACTGAGGAAATGGAAGACCACAGGCACAGTTCAAGTTAAGGCTTGAAGTGGCAGACCAAGGAAAATCATGGATAAACAGAAGCGAAGAATGGTTAGAACAGTCAAAGTCAACCCACACACCAGCACCAAAGACCTACAACATGATCTTGCTGCAGATGGAGTCATTGTGCATCGTTCAACTATTCGGCACACTTCACACAAGGAGATGCTGTACGCAACAGTGATGCAGAGGAAGCCTTTTCTCCGCCCACATCACAAACAAAGCCGCTTGAGGTCGATAAAGCACATTTGGACAAGCCGGCTTCCTTTTGGAAAAAGGTGCTGTGGACTGATGAAACTAGAATTGAGTTATTTGGACATAACAAGGGGCGTCATGCATGGAGGAAAAAGAACACAGCATTCCAAGAAAAACACCTGCTGCCTACAGTAAAATTTGGTGGTGGTTCCATCCTGCTGTGGGGCTGTGTGGCCAGTGCAGGGACTGGGAATCTTGTTAAAGTTGAGGGACGCATGGATTCCACCCAATATCAGCAGATTCTGGAGACCAATGTCCAGGAATCAGTGACAAGGCTGAAGCTGCGCTGGGGCTGGATCTTTTAACAAGACAATGACCCTAAACACTGCTCAAAATCTACTAAGGCATTCATGCAGAGGAACAAGTACAACATTCTGGAATGGCCATCTCAGTCCCCAGACCTGAATATTATTGAAAATCTGTGGTGTGACTTAAAGGGAGCTGTCCATGCTCAGAAACCATCAAACCTGAATGAACTAGAGATGTTTTGTAAAGAGGAATGGTCCAAAATACCTCCAACCAGACTCTCAAAGGAAGCTATAGGAAGCATTTAGAAGCTGTTATTTCTGCAAAAGGGGGATCTACTAAATATTGAGTTAATTTTTTTATTGTGGTGCCCAAATTTATGCACCTGCCTAATTTTGTTTAAACAATTATTGTACACCTCCTGTAAATCCTATAAACTTCGTTTCACTTCTCAAATACCACTGTGTTTGTCTCCTATATGATATATTTAACTGATTTTTTTATCCTAAGAACTAATGATTTATGAAGGAAAATCATGAAAATTAGCAAGGTTGCCCAAACTTTCGCATCCCACTGTATATAGTCAAGGATAGTCAAAACATGTCAAACATGGTGTCTGTTTGAGTTGTGCATCATTTCTATTCAACTAAAAGAGCAATATGTGTGATAAAACAGTCAGTCACACAGTCAAAAGGACCTGAGGTGGAGTTAACTGAATGAAAGTTTATCATCAACACTGTCTC